GTTTTAAAGTCTATTTTATCTGATATGAGGATTGCTACTCCAGCTTTCTTTTGATTTCCATTTGCATGTAATATGTTTTTCCATCCCCTCGCTTTCAGTCTGTATGTGTCCCTAGGTCTAAAGTGGGTCTCCTGTAGACAGCATATATATGGGTCTTGTTTTTGTATCCATTCAGTGAGCCTGTGTCTTTTGATTGGAGCATTTAATCCATTCACGTTTAAGGTAATTATTGATATATATGTTCCTATTACCATTTTCTTAATTGTTATGGGTTTATTTTATAGGTCCTTTTCTTCTCTTGTGTTTCCCACTTAGAGATGTTCCTTTAGCATTTGTTGTAAAGCTGGTTTGGTGGTGTTGAATTCTCTTAGCTTTTGCTTGTCTGTAAAGATTTTGATTTCTCCATCGAATCTGAATGAGGTCCTTGCCAGGTAGAGTAATCTTGGTTGTAGGTTCTTCCCTTTCATCACTTTAAATATATCATGCCACTCCCTTCTGGCCTGAAGAGTTTCTGCTGAGAAATCTGCTGTTAACCTTATGGGAGTTCCCTTGTATGTTATTTGCCGTTTTTCCCTTGTTGCTTTCAGTAATTTTTCTTTGTCTTTAATTTTTGTCAGTTTGATTACTATGTGTCTCGGCGTGTTTCTCCTTCGGTTTATCCTGCCTGCGACTCTCTGTGCTTCCTGGACTTGGGTGGCTCTTTCCTTTCCCATGTTAGGGAAGTTTTCAACTATAATCTCTTCAGATATTTTCTCAGGTTCTTTCTCTTTCTCTTCTCCTTCTGGGATCCCTGTAATGTGAATGCGTTTAATGTTGTCCCAGAGGTGTCTTGGGCTGTCTTCATTTCTTTTCATTCTTTTTTCTTTCTTCTGTTCTGTGGCAGTGAATTCCACCATTCTGTCTTCCAGGTCACTTATCCGTTCTTCTGCCTCAGTTATTCTGCTATTGATTCCTTCTAGTGTATTTTTCATTTCAGTTACTGTATTGTTCATCTCTGTTTGTTTGTTCTTTAATTCTCCTAGGTGTTTGTTCTTTAATTCTTCTAGGTCTTTGTTAAACACTTTCTTACATCTTCTCGATCTTTGCCTCCATTCTTTTTCCAAGGTCCTGTATCATCATATCTGTCATTATTATGAATTCTTTTTCTGGAAGGTTGCCTATCTCCACTTGATTTAGTTGTTTTTCTGGGGTTTTATCTTGTTCGTTCATCTGGTACATAGTCGTCTGCCTTTTCATTTTGTCTGTCTTTCTGTGAATGTGGTTTTCGTTCCACAGGCTGCAGAATTGTAGTACTTCTTGCTTCTGCTATCTGTCCCCTGGTGGATGAGGCTATCTGAGAGGCTTGTGCAGGCTTCCTGATGGGAGGGACTGGTGGTGGGTCTTCTCTCAACATTCTTATTCAGCATCACATTGGAACACCTGCTAGTGTTGGTCGGTCTCCTGCAGAGGCGGGGGGTGGCTGTGGCTCAGCGTGGGGACAAGGACACTGGAAGCCGGATTTTTATTTTTGTTTATTTATTTTGTTTCCGTCTTAGCCTGGCAGCTGCAGTAGATTCAAAATAATTTTTTGATATGCATAGGAGGTCACTGAGTTTCCACCTTAGCCTGGAATCAAGACTTTAGCGGTTGAGCATGTAATTCTTTGGTTTCCACCCTCTTTTCAGGTTCTCCAGGTCTCTCACTGTTTCTGTGATCTCTTTGGTATCTTTCCAATAAATTACTTTTCCATCTGGAGTTAGTTTCTCATGCTTACAACCAAGAACCCAGACAAACCCATTAGTATTAGGAGATGGATGTAGAGAATAGAACCTCAGGAACCTGTGAGAATAATTGTTTAGATGGGCTGGAGGTAACTCAGGTCCCATTAATGTTCAAAATATTAATTTCCAAAATGTCCTTCAAACTTCAGAGGTGACAACAGGTTCCCCAAATCCTCAACAGGAACTGCATTCTAGTGAACACAGGCCATAATGTTGTCATTTTGAAAATTAATGAGACCTGAGTCTTTAACTGTCTAGATTCTTGGTTGCAAACAGGAGAAACCAACTGTGGTTGGAAAAGGAATTTTTAGAAGGATACTGAAGGGCTCATAGAAACAGTAAGAGTCTTGAATGTCCTGAGAAAGTTATGGGTAGGAACAAAGGCCAAAGGCCAGTCTGGAAAGCCAAGAACAAGAAGTTCAATCATAGTCTTTTATCAGGATTAGTTTGGCCACAGTCATACAGTGTGCTGGCTTTCACACTAGTTTCACAGTGTACTAGTTTTCGTAGAGTTAGAGGAGTCTTCTATAAAGAGATGCCAGGCATTAAGTAGGAGGCTTCTGTAATGGGAATTGTAGTCCTTTGGTCCACTTACATGTAATGTGGAAGTCTTCCTTTCTGATTTGTATGCCTTTCCTTTCTTTTTCTTGCTTTATGGTTCTCACTAGGACTTCCAATACCATGTTTAATACTATTGGTGAGAGTGAACACCCTTGTCTTCCTGATCTGGAGGAGAGCATTTAGTCTTTCACTATTAAGTTGAGGACATTCCTGTTCATTACTCATTTGCTGAGTGTTTTGATCATGAATAGATGTTGAATTTTGTTAAATGCTTTTTTGCTTCTATTGAGATAATTGTATGTGTTTTTTCATTGTTTGCTAATTGATGAATTAAATTGATTAATTTTTGAATGTCAGACAGATCTTGAATTACTTGGTCTTGAATGTTGTATTATCATTTTACGTATTGCTGAATTCTGTTTGCTAATATTTCATAAGAATTTTAAGTCTGTTTTTCATGAGGGATATTGATCTCATGAATCCTTTGTCTGATTTTGGTATCAGGGTAATGCTGGCTTCATAAAACTAGTTAGGAAGTGTTCTGTCCTATTCTGCATTCTGAAAGAGTTTCTATGGAATTAGTATTAATTCTTCCTTGAAGACTTAGTAGCATTCTCCAGTGAAACCATCTGGGCCTGAATTTTTCTTTGTGGGAACATTTTAAACTATGAATTCAGTTTCTTTAGCAGATAAAGGAATATTTAGGTATTGGTGTCTGCTTGAGGAGTCTTAGGCAGTGTATGTCTTTCAAGGAGTTTACCCATTTCATCCAAGATGTTGAATTTGTTGGCCAAAGTCATTCATAATTCCCTTATTATCCTTTTAATACTCATAGGATCTATAAAAATGTTCTCTCATTCCTGATATTGGTAACTTCTTCCTTATTTTTCTTGATCAGCCTCACCAGAAGCTTACCTATTTTATTATCTTTTCAAAGAATCAGCTTTTGATTTTATTGGTTTTCTTTATTGTTTCTTCATTTTCTATTCATTGATTCTTATTTCTTTATTATTTCCTTCCTTCTGCTTACCTGGGATCTAATTTGCTTTACTTTTTTCAGTTTTTTAAGGTAGAAGTTTAGGTCACTGACACATTTCTTCTTTTCTAATATGAGCATTTAATGCTGTAAATTTCCCTCAAAGCACTGCTTTAGCTGCTTCTCACAAACATTGTTGTGTTTTATTCAGGTCAAAATATTTTCTAATTCTCTTTTTACTTCTTCTTTAATCCATTGGTTGGTTAATTTTCATATATTTGTGGATCTTCCAGATAGCTTTCTGTTATTTTTTTCCCATGTATTTTTGCTATCTTTGGCTTTTTGGTGTGCTTTCTGGGAGATCACCACCTACGTTTGAGGAGAAGGCACTGGTCTGAGCCACCATTGTATGTGAAATGCCTACAGGCCACCTGGAGCCCACAGGTCAACCTACAGGCTGCCTTGAGCCTGTGCTGGTGGGCAGGTGTATGTGTCAACAGTGGGCTGGTCTCTCTTGGCTGGCATTTGAGAAATGGGGCCAGCCGTTCTGCCACCACTGCCATGTTCCAGTAGTGAGGCTGAAAATGGGAATTTGTTAAAAGTCTGCATGTAAGGCAACCACATCCCCAGTCCCACTCCACTACTGTGTACCTAAGAACTCTAGTAGCCAGGCATCAACCCTTATGCAGGAAACAGAATCTGCTTCAAAGAAATTGAATGGCCCCAGAGAAGACCCTAATGCCAGAGCTAAACTCCTTGCAGGAATTACTGAGGGTGGATTCCTGGATCACGCTGGTGGATGAGTAGACCTATACAATGGAGGAGGTAGCCTTCTCTGGTCTCCCCAGCACCCTCAACAAAGGCGGCTGTTTTGAGACTTATGTCACGCTTCCTTATTGACTATCTATATTCAGCACTTAACTTTAGACTTGTGGTCTGTATGTGGCATGCCAAGAATCGAGAATTATCAATTTTGATATATGTGTAGATGTCCCACAGATAAAAGAGTGAGATCAGCCCTCTAAAAGATGGAATCCTACTCATAGCATCAGGACTGTCCTATTAAATGCAGTCTTACTTTTAATGGACCAGTACCTTAAAATGCGAATGGTCGTTTGCTGGGTGACTGGATTAAAGATAATTTAAATTTTCTTCTTGGTATATTTCTTTCTTTTCTAACTTCTCTAGAGTGAACATATATTACTTTTGTGTTCAGATAAAATACTTTAAAACATTAAGGGAAAAATTAGTAGAATTGTGAAATAAATAAAAACATGAGATCTAATCTAGTAAGCATGATGTAAGGTATAGGCACTGTGAAACTAATGATTTAACAGCAAACTGGGTTGATCAGAATTGTCTCTAAAGGTGTTTACAAGAGAAATAATTGACAAAAGCTTTTAATTCTCCATGAATAACAACTTCCAGAGTCCTAAGAAGGGCTGTCTGGCCCTACTCCCTGGGTCAGAATTCCTGAGGAAAGGTAAAATTATACTGTAGTCATGGCGTTAACAGGACAAGAGTATCCTCATCTCTTCTGCTTGGCGCCCCCCCCCACCCCGTTCACTGATGATGGTGTTCCTTCTGGGGGAGGGGCAGGAGGTTTCAAAGACTTTCCTACTACCCTCATTTTTAGAGAGGAAATGGGTCACCTATGTTTCATTACTCACTAACATGCTTATTCCTCTCTGTCCTGTCCACAGGCAGCTGGCTAAGAGTCTTGGGCAGGCTGGTGAAATCGAGCCTGAAACAGAAGGGATACTAACAGAGTATGGAGTGGATTTCTCTGATTTCTCTTCAGAAGTTTTAGAATGTCTCCCTCAAGACCTGCCTTGGACAATTCCACCAGAGGAATTCAGCAAGAGAAGAGATTTAAGGTAAATATCTGAAACTCGTAAAGAACATCATGTTTCTTAGTATGAGTGTGTTTTGTGTTTGGTAACTGCAATCATTGTTGCTTTTGTTGTGGTCATCCATTTACAATGCTTGGTGTCAGTTTATTTATCTCTTGTAAAAATAAAATACTGTGTGTGTGTGTGTGTGTGTGTGTGTGTGTGTGTGTGTGAAAAAGGTAACTGAGGTGATGAATGTAAAAGTATCCTTCTTCTGGTAATCATTTCAAGAAATGAATGTGTCAAATCAAAAAAACAAAAAGCACATCATGTTTCTATCTTTCTGCTTTCTAACTTAACTCTCCTATGAGCTGGCCTCAGATATTCCCATCTTTCCACCAACATTCAAGTTCCGTACAATTGGGAACTAAGTGCTCTGTACCGGAGGTTGGCCAGTGATGGCCTCCAAGCTAAACCGAGCCCACTGACTGTTTATGTACAGCCCGTGAGCTAAGACTGGTTTTCATATTCTTAAATGGTTGAAAAAAATCAAAACAATAATTTTTCATGAAAATTATATAAAATTCAAATTTCAGCATTCATGAAGTTGCATTGAACACAGCCATGCTTATTTGGTTATATATTGTCTATGGCTCTTTTTTTGCACTACAAGAGCAGAGTTGAATAGTTGCAACAGAGGCCATATGGCCTGCAAAGCCTAAGATATTTGCTCTCTGGCCCTTTATAGAAGAAGTGTGCTGACTTTTCTTCTAGACCATGCTATTATAATTTCAAAAGGTGTAGTTGCCACCTTCTTTTCTCATTGCTATGCCCCATAGGTCTGGTCAAATAAAGACAGTGTTATCTGGTTAGAAATGCCTTCCTTTAAATGGGCCTCTTCAGGCACAGAGCAAAGGATTCAAGACTTCTGTGCTTGGAGCTTCATTTTAAAGCTTTACTTTTAGGTCTGGAATTTGTTGGAAAGGACTTTTGTGGTATTTTTTTAACAACATCTTCTTTGAAGATGTTTCTTCATTGTGGGATGTTAGTTCTTTTCTGATATTTCTCTTCAGAATTTGGTTTCAGTACTGGCATTCATTTTGGATGCCACATGGAGATATTTAGAACCAAGAAACTTTTCATACAACCCACTGAGGCCGTGGAAGGTTTTTTGCTAAGGTCATCCCGTGTCAGAGTCTTTTCCGCCACACTTGCGCACTTCATGCAGCTGAACTTACGATACCTTAAGCTCTTGGTGCCCATTACTCCACCTAGTTTGAGAATCCTCCTTTCCGGCTCCCTCTTGCTTTTGTATCTTTTAGAAATGTACTTCTTTTCTCTTCTTGCCGCGGGTAGGCAAGGAAAAGGAGTTGACAGTTCCTTTTCCTGCTTGTTAGTAACTCTCATGGAACACACATTATATTTGAAGTCAGTTAACTCAAGTTGCCTTCCTGGCTTTCAGCAGTAACCACTGTTCAGAGAACTCCTGGTCAGTCATCTTGTCGGGGGTTTTGAGATCTTGAGTCCATAATCTTACTCTCTCTGAACCTTCATTTTCTCATATATAAATTGAGGGACTTGTTTTCTGAGATCTTTTCCTAAATCTAGGAATCTATTTAAAAATTTTTAATAAGAAAAGAAAGTTAGAATGGATGGCTGAATTTTATTGTTTGAAGTGTCAGTTAGTATAGCTATTCTGCAGTAGCTATTAAAAGCTATTAAAACATTTTTAAACCTACTTACCCTTTCACCTAAAAACTCTATTTCCAGGAGTCCATCCTCCTCAAAGAAGTGTTTTAGGATGTACGTAAAGAATGTTCGTTGCTGCTTTATTATAAAAGTGACACTGCTTATGTCCATCATTAAAGGAATGGTTAAATAACCTATGTCATATCAATAAGATAACATTCCCTGCAGCTGCAAAAAAGGAACCATTTCCATGTGGACTTCCTAAAAGGATGGCCATCATATATTGCGAAGTGAAAGAAGCAAGTTTCAGAACAGTATGAATATGAGCCTAGTTTTTTATAAAGTCAAATAATATAAAAACGATATAAATGTGTATGTACATACATATACATGTACACATAAAAGTATATTTGCAGAAAAAAAAGCTCTGGAAGGAAATGCATTGAACTGCCGACAGCGATTATCGTGTGTGGACTTCAGTGAAGTGCCTATCATTTCACTGATAGGGAGGCAATATTTTACGTTTCATTTTATAAATTACTCTGTTATTCAAATTGTTTAAAAATAAACTTCTATAACTTTAAAAAATTATAAATGGAAATATCAGAAGAGAGAGGTGCTCAGCCTTTCCTAGCCTGGCTCCTATCCTGCAGATGAATAATAATAAGGCATGCCAACAGCCCTAGAAGCCAGTGTCGCTCAGTTCCCCTCTCATGGCCCCGCCTTGCCTTTTTCTTTGGCCCCCATTGCCTTCTGAGTTAGACCACAGACTAGGAGGTCTTGCTCTGCAGACGTCTTCTGTTAAAATATACCTATGTGTCCTGCAAGAGGATCCAAAGATACAGGGAGCTTGTGGGATGCTCTCTGCTATTAGCACAGTAACAGCGATTTTTTATTTTTAATCACTTTAACTTCCAGAAACTTTTTACCTGCCTATTATCCTCTAGAATTATTTCTCTAAAATTCAAATCGTATTCTTTTTTATTTTATTTTATTTTTTTTTTACTCCTTTGGCTTAAAATCTTTCAACTGCTTCCTGATGCCTAAAGTAGTAATCTCTAAACTTTGTTGAACATGCATTCCCTGTAACATATGTGCCTTTATTTTAAAATTACAAGTGTACTTACTACTTTACTAATTTATTATATATGCTATTAACATACATAAAAGTGGAAAAATGAGAAAGAAATACATTTTAATATATTTTTATTTTACTTTAAGAAGGTATAGAAAACTGTTCATATTGTTAATCCTACTTTTGGTGACAGCAATGTGATTGAATATTCTTTATTTTTTTATTTTGCTTTAACAACTTGCAGTGTGGAAATACAGAGGTCCGGTTTTAAGTTTTGTATATTTTGATACTTAGTTTTGGTTTTAATGGTTATCATAACTGAAAAAGATATCATATCTTAGGAAGAAGTGAGCTCAACTTACTAAATCATACTTATCTTTTAACCCTGTTCACTGATTATATTCAGATTCATTTTGAAATCCAGCTAATAAACTTCCATCTTTCATGATGTCAGTCAGTTCTTGTGGACTAATTGAAAGGTGTTGCATTTTTAGATTTTTTTAAATGATTTCATAATCTTCGATTATTCTTCAGTTGGCATCTTTAAAAACTGGTTATAAAATTCTGTTAGAAAATTTAAGTGTATAGATATGAAAAGTTTTGTAGTTTATAAGATTAGGTCATTTTAGGTCCCCAGATTGTATAACAATGGAAACATTTCAAAACATCCATTTTTAGAATTTTATATTAAAAACTTGAGTTTCTTGTTTTATTTTGCTTTCAAAAAGCAATAACTTTTTTTTTTCTTTTTTTTTAATCGTTGTTAAAACATCACTTTTACCTTGAAGGGACAGATTAAGTGTGTTTATTTTTTTCTAAGTATCTGCTATGGACCATATGATTGACAGTCATTGTTTTGAAATCATAGTGTGGCTGATGAATTCATGTTAGGAGCACAAGAAGTGTCAGCTTTGCTATTTTCATGGTATTAGTGGTATTACTATTATTAGTTCAATATTATCTTCAATCTGTGGATCTTTGCAATCATCTTTTTTAGCCACTTGCCTATTTTGTAAGGATTAATTTAGCTAAAACTAGATCATTTTCATAAATCCATGGTACTGGACATGCGTAAATACCTATTGTTCACAGTTGGCTGAAAGTATAGGAACCAACAGAAGTGCCAGTATCGTTCATTGCCTTTTGTGTTCTGGAACACCGACTCTCTTCTCACTTGAGGTACACCTCACTTACCACCTGATTCACATACCTTGTGAGGGTGCCAGCATTAATTCATGTATTTATGTAGTCACGGTTAATTTCTTTTTACAATAAAAAATAGAGAAGTACTTAGTATGCTGGAGTGTTTGGAGCTGATTACCTTTTCCTTCTCTTTGACTGGTCTTTTAATAGATTGATTTCATTTTTCAATCAACAAATTTATGGAACACCATCCATGGGCAGTAGAAATTCACCAATGAACAAAAGCAGATGTGGTCTCGGTTCTTGCGGAATGCTCAGTCTTATAGCAGAGGAGCGTGAATCAGATGTTTTAAGCAATAGTCAAATATGGAATTGTAATGGAGGAGAGAGATACTTGGTACAAGAGTTTGTAATACTGTGATTTCTTCTGCTCAGAGGTCCAGTGCCTTCAAAGAGGTTTTATCAATATTACTTTTTCTAGGACTGTCAAAAGAACTAGAAATGAGTCCTAACACACACTAAAAAACACATGCTATGAATAAATAATATGTATTCTGGGAACTCCTAAATAAAACTTTTTTCCTTTTCCTCCCTTCTCTCCTATATACATTTATTTACATATATTATTTATGTATCTCTCTGTATAATATATATGTGTATATATAATATATGCCGAGTGCTCAGTTAGTCACTGGAAATACAAAGACAAGTAAGGCCCAGCCCTTGTTCTTCATGACTTTTCTGTTCCTCAGGGAGGCAGATTTATACTCAGATAAATTACAGCAGAGGATGGCAGGCGCTGTAACATTCATATGGACAACCTGCCAGCATCCTTGGTGCTTGAGCTGAGATCTGAGAAATGCGCAGGCGTAGGGGGAACTAGAGTGACTGAAGTAGTTCTCAGTTCAGCGATAGGCTGTGGCTGCAGAAAGGGTGGTATGTTCCCCTAAGACTCCCAAACCCCGCTGTAACAGGGCTCTCACAACTCCAATGGTTTTGATAGCTTCTTGACCCCCTCTGCTGGGCCACCCTGCCGTGGAGCCTACAGTGTTACCCTGGCTCTAGCTACGTAAGGACTTCTACATACCCGTTTAGGTTTGGTATTTGAACGATTATATTTGGAACACAGAAGTTCCAT